AGTAACTATAGTGGATTCATATAAAACACTGACCCCAGCCTTGAAAGCTGCCATTTGACAAGGGCTTGCTGTGTGCTAGATGTTAGGAACTGTCTTCCATATGTTATTCTACACCAAATCTGAAGTGAATCAGGAAACCACTGATTCCTTCTTATGGGCAGAACAAGGATTAAACTAAAGGAAGATTTTATAGCATTCCAGAAACAATTTTTCCCAGATCTGGTTGATAAGAATGACCAGGCAATGGAAAGACAATGGAAGATTTTTTTTTTCTGTCCAACCAATACTCATTTCCTCAGGGGAAAAACTACTTCAGTAAGCCAGTTCATAAATATTCCCTATGTAAAAAGGATAAAAACTAAAACCAGAAACACAGGCATATCAGACACTTGCCAAAGCAGAATATCATTGAGAGAACTGAGTGGTAAAAATTAGCTTAGATAAAATAACATTCAGTCCTGTCCTACATTATAGAAAGTCCTCTGTGACTTTGGAAATGTTCTAAAGCAGCTCCAGCATCTATTTCTTTGTCTATAAATCATGACCCACTGTGCATGTCACTGCAGAACACAGAACTCTGAGGTTGTTGTCTGTTGTCTTTTGCCTGTCTATCATGGGTCATGGAAAGTTCTAGAGAGCAATAGCCTTGTCTAGCATATTCAAAGCCACATCTGTACCAAAAAGATGCTCAGTGATTGTCTCTAAGGAGTGAATGAATCCTAGGGTCTTTACAGGATTACGGAAGTTAGTCTGTATGAAGGTCCAGGGTGGAGACTCCACTATACAAGGCTATCTAGAAAAGATGACTGAGAGTGTGTCTGCCACCTTGTGCCGTCATGTCTCTGTGCAGCATCCAGCAAAACTGAATGAGAAGAGAGTACAGATTAGTTCATGATCCCTTACATGCCCAAATGTTCACTCTGGAGTCTACTGTCCATAACTTTAGTTCAGTGACATGGACTAACTGCGGTCTAGGATTCTGTGACAAAGGAGTATACAGGGAACCTTCAGAACTGTTCTTTCTCTACTGCAGACCCACTTGTAATGGAGGCATAGATGGACAGAAATCTTCACAGTGCCACCGAGCTGCTAACTGGTGAAATCCAGACTCATATTCAGACTGTCAGGCTCAAGAGCCTGTCCTCTTGGCCATGTATTAGTGTGGTAGCTCAGCAGACACCATCCAGGTCCAGAAGGCATCTCTCAGGTTCTACTGCCCACTCCAGCTTCACTTTGAGAAGTGGCCACCAGTCTTCCACTTCACTTTAGGGTTTTTGCACTTTGGCACTTTTGGTATTTAATGTATAGCTTACTGTAGCCAGTCATGTCACTCTGCCTTCTCTCCACCTATCATTCTCCCCAAAGCAATGTTTAAATTTTTACCATAAACCAGTTAGCCAGAAAACATGAGGTCTTCCAGGCTTGCCCTCCCCTCTGTCTTCTTTAGTAGTAACTTTAAGTCAAAGTATTTTTATCCCAGGTTTAACAGAGTCTAGAAGAGTAAGAGTGTTGAAAAATCCAGGCCAGAATCCTGGAGGTCTTCCACTCCCCAACAACTGCCCAAAAATCAGAGCAATAGAAAAGAACTACTCAATTACTGTACATGGTCGCCTTCATTAAACAATCCGTGCAACATCAGTATCCAGTCTGTGGCTAAATTCCTGGGTTGGGCTCTCTACTAACCTAATCCTTTCAAAAATCTCATAGAACTAAGCTGACAAATAACTTACCCAACACCATGTATTGATGAGCTGACCCAAATCAAGGGTCATATGGCTTACCCAGTGTTTCTTCTTACAGGTGACCGATCCAGGATTTAAGCCTAAACCTTTGGAACTACAAAGACCTTACCTTCTGCACACACACACACACACACACACACACACACACACACACACACAGAATTGTTTCTCTTAACTAAAACTAAACAGCCAACAAACTCTATCATTGCCTGTTATGAGCCTCTCAAGAATCATCTAGTCTAACACTAACAAGCAAACAAAGTCCTTAGAATTTGTCACTTTCATTTTACAATGGCTGGAGCAAGGGGCTCACCCAGGAAGAGACAAGTGTTGCAGACAGAGCTGAGGCTTGTGCTGCAATCTCTGTGTCTCTGGAGCATGGGTTTTAGCTATGAAGCTGTTTGGCCCTTCAGTTGTCATATAGATGAAAATGAAGGGTTCAAACTGAGAAAGGGGAGCAGGTTAGCTGCCAAGGACTTATGAAGACTCCACCTTTCCTATCCTGTCCCACCTTGAGTAGCCCATGAGAGTGGGGAAGGTTTGACACAGTCCTTTTCCCTAGCCGTCAGTCCCTGCTGGAAGCCTGCACTGCTTTCTGCCCTCTTGACCAAATATCTCCTCCCCTCTGCAGCATCATCCAATTCCTGAAGTTATCAGCTCAACAGTCTCCTCAACCAGGGGCCAAGTTCCACAGCTGTGTTCCCAGAGCTGGGAAGGACTGTACACGAGAGCAGATCCTCAAGCTTCCTCTCCTAGATATAGTCTACCTGTGTCCTTCACAGTACCAGGTAATACAAAGCCTTCACACCCCCAATCCCTCCCACCTCCACCTCTGCCTCCCACCCCCATCCCCTCCCACCTCCGCCTCTGCCTCCCACCCCCACTCCATGTGTGTGTGTGCGTGTGCATATGTGCATGTATGATTGCTCATGATCATCTGTGTGTCTATATGTATTTCTATCTCCCACAAAAGTCTTAAACTTGAGGATTCTGCTTAAGTTCTCGGAATGCCACTTACAAATTATGGTCTTGGTCAAATTACTTAACTTCTCTGACATTTCCTTTCTTTAACTGCAATATAATGATGGGCATGTTGGAGACCGGAATATCTGGAAGCACATGTGAGCTGTGTTTAGCACAGCTGCTGGCTCAGAGACAGGGACTGATGTGTTTGGGAATGAGTAGAAAAGACAGAGACAGAAGGAGTGCCCATGAAAGAAATCTTCCCTGTGCACAAGACAATTAACTTTCTTTAAAGTGAACACCTTTAATCTGGTGAGGCACTTGCTGAGCAAGCATGAGGACCTGAACTGGGTGTCCAGTACCTATAGAGAAGTGCAGGTGAGGTACCTTTCAGTGTGTGCCTTCCATTTGTTAGTTTTTTTTATGAACTTGACATAAGCCATGACATCTGGGAAGAGGGAACCTCAATTGAAAGAACACCTCTTCCCGATCAGACAATAGGCAAGTCTGTGGAGCATGTTCATGCTTAATGACTGTGAGAAGACCCAACTGACTGCGGGTGGTACCACACCTGGACACCTGGCCTGATACCAAAAACAAGCTGAGAAAGCCAGAAAGCACAAGCCAGCAGATGCCATTTCTCAATGGTTCTTGCTTCTGCTCATATTTGTGTCCCTGCTCTGACTTCCCACAAAGATTGAACATGATCAGGACATGTAACCCAAATAGACCATTTTCTCTACAAGTTGCTTTTGGGTCATGATATTTATCACAGCAATGCAAAGCAACCTGCATGATACCTATAATCCCAGAGCTGGGAAGCAGAAACAGAAGGATCCCTGGGACTTGCTGAGCAACCAGTCTAGCCAAATCAGCTACCATCAGGTTCAGCAAGAAACCTTGTTCCCAAAGCTAAAGTGGAGAGATATGCAGAAAATCCTTGATTTTGCCCTCTGACTTCCACATGTGTGTGCATTCAAACACACACACACACACACACACACACACACACACACACACACAATGGAGGAGCAAATTCATAATTGTTGGTAGTTGAAAGATACCTCAACATTTCAAAATTCTTGGCATGTTCTGGGTTCAATGCTGGCAAAGTGATGGGAATCAGAGTGGTAGGTATCGTCTTTGTACCCTCAAAAACAGTGCCCCAAACCACAGAACTGTTAGGTGGTAAAGCCAAATCAAAAGTCAAGTCCTGACTCTGCTACTCTGGGCTCTCCTAAGACACATTAAACATGTCAATCTGTTAAGTAACATTTTGTGTCCAAGGACTTATTGAACATATTTGATTCTCAAGATACTGCATATGTAAGTCCTGGGCCCAGTCAACCTCAAGTACCCATGGCCAAATTGCTTCCAGAATATATTTTAAAACACTTCAAAACATTGGCTCTAAAATCATTTCATAGAGCCCTCAGAGTATATTCTCCAAGATGGCAGACACTGTCCATTTGATAGGATCTGAAAACACATTTGGAACCCTGATAATAAGTGTTTCATAAATGAAAGAGAAATTGTTCTGTGATTCAGATATTTTATAGACAATAGATTTCTCTTTTTCCAGCTTTCATCTCTCAGGATTTTAAAGTGTGACAAGGGAAGAATCTAACATTATGTTGAATACTCAGTGTCAATCAACAAACACTGTGATGGATAGATAGATATTGATGTATATATAGAATAGCATTAATGTAATGTAATTGCTATGTAGATCTATAGCTATAGAGAGTGATATTTAGAGATGTGATTTTAGATATTGATACATAGTTACAGAAATAGACCGAGCTATAGAGAGAGATCTGCACCTCAAGACAACAGACAGAAATACATAGATATGGGTGTCTCTGAAAGCTGTAACATGCTATGTCTGTATGTTTCAGTGCAAAAGCTGCACTGCACAGACTATTTCAGGCACCAATCCCCACTTCTTTCCTCTACTCCTGTTGTAGAAGTTAAGACACCATTTCTTTGCATTCGGCTTACTTACTCCATTTTCTTGAAGAGAGAGAGAGACACACACACACACACAGAGAGAGAGAGAGAGAGAGAGAGAGAGAGAGAGAGAGAGAGAGAGA